ACAGCCTCCCACACCAGAGGGTACATTTGCTACAGCTGATGGGCCTACAGGACTTGTCGTTATCACACACAGTCTACAGTTTACAGTTGGGTTCACTCTGGGGTTCACTAGGGGCTGGACATTCTGAGTTTGGACGAACGTATAAAGAGGTGCATCCACCATTAGAGGACTATCCAAAGAGTTTCACAGCCCTAAAACACCTGTGCCCTTCTTTTCCTTTTAAATTCTGAATTTCTACTCATATCAAAGAAAACATTTTAAATATTCTTCCCAACTCAGAATCCTGGGAGATCCATGGAGTCCACAGCTGCTTGGAGGGAAGAGAGGGCATGCTGAAGCGAGGGAGGGTCTGCGTGTTTCCTTTACCCTCTTTGTTGTTGTGCAGTCGCTCAGTCATGTCTAACTCTTTGCAATCCCATGGACTGCAGCATGCCAGACTTCCCTGTCCTTCACTATCTCCTGGAGTTTGCTCAAACTCATGTCCATTGAGTCGGTGATGCCATCCAGCCATCTCACCTCTGTCGCCCCCTTTCCTCCTGCTTTCAATTTTGCCCAGGATCAGGGGCTTTTCCAATCAGCTGGCTCTTCGTATCAGGTGGCCAAACTACTGGAAATTCAGCATCAGTCCTTCCAATGAATATTCAGGGTTGATTTCCTTTAGGAATGACTGGTTTGATCTCCTTGCAGTGCAAGGGTCTCTCAAGAGTCTTCTCCAGCACCACAATTTGAAAGCATCAGTTCTCAGCCTTCTTTATGTCCAACTCTCACATTTGTACATGACTACTAGAAAAACCATAGTTTTGACTATACAGACTTTCATTGGCAGAATGATGTCTTGGCTTCTTAATATGCTGTCTACATTTGTCATAGCTTTTCTTCCAATGACAAGCATCTTTTTCCTTCTTTAATCCTTGATATATGAGTGGCTGTCTGGACAGATGTGAGGAAGAAAAAAGGTCCAGGTAACAGATGTATTGTTCACCAATGTTTTAATACTACAAAATCCTAATCAATAACTGGATTTAACCATGGCAGCTGAACCCTTTTCCCCAATGCAGGAGGGGGACCATGCAGGGTCTCACCCTTTGGCTGGAAGCAGGAACATGGACTGCCAGCTCTCTTCTCATTGAAAAAGGAAATGTTTTCCAACCATCAGCACCAGTACAGCTTAAAAAAGAAAAAACGATTCCATAGCTCTAAATTTATTTTTATTTCTTGGCTATGCCACATAGCATGCAGAATCTTAGTTCCCAGACCAGGTTTCAAACCTGGACACCCTGAATTGGGAGCATGGAGTCTTAACCACTGGACCACCAGGGAAATCCCAGTACAGCTTTTTTTGTGATTAAATTTAAGCCATCTATTTCAGACCTTTTCCAAAGACTTTTCAGATACTTTGCCAAAGACTCTTCTAAGGTCGATGCTAGTTTTGAAATAAGTTCAGTCAGTTCAGTTCAGTTGCTCAGTCATGTCCAACTCTTTGTGACCCCATGGACTGCAGCATGCCAGGCCTCCCTGTCCATCACCAACTCCCAGAGTTTACTCAAACTCATGTCCACTGAGTTGATGATGCCTTCCAACCATCTCATCCTCTGTTTGTACCCTTCTCCTCCCACCTTCAATCTTTCTTAGCATCAGGGTCTTTTCAAATGAGTCAGTTCTTCACATCAGGTGGCCAAAGTATTGAAGTTTCAGCTTCAGCCTCAGTCCTTCCAATGAATATTCAGGACTGATTTCCTTTAGGATGGACTGGTTGGATCTCCTTGCAGTCCAAGGGACTCTCAAGAGTCTTTTCCAACACCACAGTTCAAAAGCATCAGTCCTTTGGCGCTCAGCTTTCTTTATAGTCCAACTCTCACATTTATATATGACCACTGGAAAAACCATAGCTTTGACTAGATGGACCTTGGTTGGTAACCTTTGTTGGTCTCTGCTTTTTAATATGCTGTCTAGGTTGGT